AAAAAATATTTTATTTACTGATGCATAGAGAACTGGGGTACAGGCCAGATGCAGGGGCAATGAGATGATTTGTCAGAGACAGTGTGGGGAGCAGAAGAAGCAGATCGATGAAGTACACTGCTGAGGAGAGCACCAAGGTGGGTCAGGAGAGGTCTGCCACGCCATGTGGATCACCTCTGGGCCGGGGAATCGAACTGACTGACAAATACATTTTAATTGAAATGTGATTAGATAAATACATATTACTAGAAGGGGAAGCATCCCATTATCAAAATAAAATTGATTTTTTTATACCAATATAATTGTGTTCACTTATGTCAAGTTTCTATTTAATTTACATTGAACTATGGTGTCCTAGGACAACTTTTTATTTTCTCTGGAATTCAAATTATCTTTTTTGCCAGCTAGCAGATTAGAAAAAAATTACTTCATGCTCTTATAATGACTTCATGTTATTTTGCTTAGAATGGCACTACAATGATTACAAATATTTAATGAAAATGCAAAGTTCTTGTTAAAATGAAAATTCTGATTCATGAGGTCTGGGATGGAACCTGCATTCTGACTTTCTGTTAGGGGCCTTGGGTCTTCTTTGCAAGTTCTAGCTCCTTATAAAATACTTGACAAAAAGGCAAACCAGTTGGCATTAAGATAATGTTTTATTAAGCTTGTGCATAGGGAGACAACCTCAGAGAGGAAAGTTTCTTGGTAGACTCTCCAAGGGGACCAGGGGAAAGAGATTTTTAATGGATTAATCTACAAGAGTAAGATAAAGGGGTGCAGCAGTATAGTATATCATGCCATGGGCAAGCCTATACTGAGCGTGCCCAGAAGAACTACATGCGTCTTCATATGTTGCATGTCTCATTAGCATCTAAAGTTTCCACCCTGGGTATGCATGTTAACATGATAATGAGCTTCCAGTCACACTTGGTCAGGATTTTTATTAACTGGGCGTGTGAGACCTTCAGCTTTTAGTAGGATAGAAATTCTTCTTATCTAAATACACCTTTGGTCATTCTTTTAGGGCACATGTTTAAACAAGGTGCTGGGGTTGGAACTTCAACATATAAATTTTGAGGTGTATGATTTTTTTATAAGAAATAAATATTTCGTCATCTGATATGTATTTATATAATTATATACGAATAATTTTCAGCAATGGTTCCTGACTAAATCTCCCAAACTCTGAAATTTCTTGAATAATAAAAGCAATGGGAACATCTTTTTGATAATAGTCCTATTGTCTCCAGTACTTGAAATCACTTCTGGGCCATAAAAATATATTGGTATTTGTAAAGAGCTCTTTTCATCCCAACTGAGTTTGTTAATAAGGTGACTTCTGAAAAGCACAGGACACCAGAGTTGCCTGGGAACAAACCGTGAATAGAGGATTGAAAATTTTAGGCCACTACCTGATTTCCCAGTGAGGGGAAAGAGGACGGAGGTAGAATCAATCAGCAACGGCCACTAATTACTCATAGTTATATAATGAAGCCTCTGCTTACCCCAAGCAGAAAGGGTTCAGAAATTTTACAGGTTGGGGACCCAGAACTCTTCCAAGTGCCACTGTTTCCCAAACTCCATAAACAGTGGTAGCTCTAGGTATCTAAACACACACACACACACACACACACACACACGATCTTCATATGACTGTAGATTCTCACCTTCAATATTAAATCTAGTAACCTACTGGTTTCCTGTGTCCTGCATACTGTGCTTGCAAATTAATCAAAACCAACAAGCAGGTCATGGAAACATCTCACCAACATGGCAAAATGGTCCTTTTTTTTTTTGGCCTCTTTGCTTGAAAACTGGATACCGGATTTCTGTCTTAGGGTTCCTTGCATTTTCTCCATTGAAGCTTTGAGGGTGTTCTTTGTCAAATAAGACAATTTGTTGTATAAATAATGATTTGGAACTTATTAAATCTCTACTTAAGAAATATCTCTGGAGCAATTACTCTGTATCAGGCATCCTCTAAGAGAGTGGAAAATAACGGTAATTAGACATCAGCACATATATTAATATGAGATGACCTAAATAAATACTTGAGATACTGTGAAATGGAAGGCAGTATTAGGCTCCAATAATCTATTTCTTTTGGTAAAAGCAAACACTTTTCTGGCTACTCTTAAAGCACCTTCGTCTGGTAATGATTTTAGTAACATAAGAATGTGAGTTCCAAGGTCTCCCTGTGGCACAGGTTAAAGACAGTGCTATCAAGCTATTGCCAGCCACTGCAGCATGAATTCAACTCCCCAGCCATCCGTGGGACTGACTCACATGGTGCAGCAGGCCTCTCCTCTCTCACCGCTGCTCCCCTCAGCAGTGTATTCCTGTCTTAACTGCTTTTTGCCTCAGCAGTGTATTTCAGTCTGTCTGTTTGTTCTGCTCCCTACTCTGTCTTTGGTGAATCCTCTTACCTCTGTACCCCAGTTCTTGTATGGATAAATAAATAAATCTTAAAAAAAAAAAAGTGAGTTCTAGGAACTTCTTCACTGTGGGCTTTGATGGGAGAGTGCTGAATGATGATATAAACACAAACACTAATTGTGATGAATATATTACCTGTTTATGGGGATTTTATCACAGTTATATGCCTGTGACCAATCTTCTCAAAATTTTATGTATTAAATATGTGCAACATTCTGTATATTAAATACGTTACAACAATGTTGAAAAATGTGAGTAAATAATAGCATACTTTTCTAAATATTTTAGCATATTAATTTAAAAAGTGCCTAAATATTAATAAATACTATTAAAGTTTCTAGTTCTATCTTGTTACCATTCACCATACAATATAGTTATCTTCAGAAGAGAATCATTTTCCATATTCTTTTCCAAAATTTCTTCAATCTGAAATTGATTGCAATCAAAGAATCAGGAAATTTGGAAAGGAGACCAACATTCAGCTACTTCTCATTGTTAGTCCCAAGAACTTATGATTTGGAGACAATTTTACATATAGCTTTTCAAACTTTTTGAGACTTCAACTATTCCAGAGTCTCTCATCTCTCACATTGTCCAGTCCACTCTCCTAGGGCACTGAATTCCATTTCCTGTAACCTCTTGTTCTCATTTGAATTACTGTTTCCTTACAAAACTAAATTCCCCTGATTGAGGATACTATAAAAAATATAAAAAGGTGCAAAAAAGAAAATTAAAATAATAAAATTAAAATACCATAGGTCTCAAAACTCAGAGTAGCTCTTATTAGCTTTTGGATACATGTCCTGAATCTTTTCTATACACATATATTCCTAGAAATCAATATTAAACCTCATGCAATTGTTATTTTTTAATTTAATATTATATTGTGATCATCTTTCACATCCTTAGATATTCTGCTAATAGTGGTAATTAAGTAATGTACACTATTCAACTGTTTTTTGCTTTACCTGGCATATAAATCAGTATTTGAATGTTTTTGTCCTATAAACAAAGAAGGCATACATGTCTTGTACATTATTAAAAAAATTTATTTCTAGAAAAAATTCCTGAAATGGGGAAACATGTACTTTTTAACTCTTGATGGAAATTTCTAAACTCCCTTGAAACAAAGAGTAACAACTTGCATGTCTACCAACAGCATAAAAATAATTTCAACTTATTAACCTGTGGAAGAGGACATTTTCAAAGCTTCACTATTTTGATAGATAAGCTGATTTTTATTACTTTCTTTTGATGATGAACATAGGTCACTTCAGTGTCTGTTATCAATGAAATCTCTCAGAAAGCTCTTGTTCTGAAGATTCTTCTTGCTGGTCCTGGAGGTTTGCTGGCCTTTGGGCCTCTTTTTCACAGAGATGTCTTGGTGGTGAAATATGAGGGCCTGTGACAAACTTTTATTTAGTTCCCAGATCCACAGTAGGGCCTTGGGGCTGGTTGTGGTGCTGAGTCCTTTGGTTCAAGGGTCTTTTCCACAACATCCTTGAATAAACCTCTCCCTGATCTGTTTGGTTTTAATGCCATAGATGATAGGGTTGAGCATGGGGGGCACCAGTAGGTAGAGATTAGCTAACATAATGTGCACCACTCGGGGCACATTCTGTCCAAAGCGGTGGGTGAGGAAAGTAAACATGGCTGGTATATAAAAAGCCAAGATCACACCCACATGGGAAGCACATGTGCCAAACGCCTTTAGCCTAGCTTCCCCAGAGGGCAAGCCCAGCACTGTTCTCAAAATCATCACATAGGATATACTGATGACAATCATATCAAACCCAACCACTGAGAAGGCCACAAAGAGACCGTAAGCACGGTTCACTCTAGTGTCAGCACATAACAACTTCAGCACAGCCATATGTTCACAGTATGACTGGGGGATGATCTGGTTGGAGCAGAAGGGCATTCTGGAGATCATGAAGCAGAAGGGACTCACCCAAAGCAGCCCTCTTATCATCACAGCTGCCCCCAATTTACACACTACAGATGGGGTAAGGATACTAGAGTGGCGCAGCGGGAAACAGATGGCCACATAGCGATCCAAGGCCATAGCCATGAGCACTCCAGACTCCACTGACGAAAAGGAATGGATGAAGAACACCTGCATGAGGCAGGCATGGTATTCAATCTCATGGCAATGGAACCAGAATATAGCCAGCATCTTAGGTTGGGTGGAGGAGGAGAGGACTAAGTCAGTGAAAGCCAGCTTGGCCAGAAAGAGGTACATGGGTTCATGCAGGGTGTGGTCAACTCGAATTATGTGAATGACAGTGATATTGCCCACTACAGCCACAATATACATGGCACAGAAGAGAAAGCCAATCCAAAACTGAGAATTCTCCAGTCCTGGGATCCCAAGCAGGAAGAAGGAATCAGGATGTGAAGAGCTATTCTCGGAAGCTGACATCATGGGCTGTTTAATTTGTTCTCCATTGAGAAAGTAATTTACTTTCTGTAAATGACAGCAATGAAATAAATCATTATGGTTGTTTATAATCTTTTGGCTGGATCAACTGAAAAATAGGGCAGTTGGTTTCAGTGGCAACCTACAATAATTCCAACTATTTTAATAAAAATAATGTTTGTGACATTTAGGGGTTCCTACACTTTATTTTTTGTTCATTTTTATGACATTCAAAATGGTATGAGGACATACTCACCTGCTACAAGGCTAATGTATTATGTAAGAATCTATCTATCTATCTATCTTCATTTTTATGACATTCAAAATGGTATGAGGACATACTCACCTGCTACAAGGCTAATGTATTATGTAAGAATCTATCTATCTATCTATCTATCTATCTATCTATCTATCTATCTATCTATCTATCTATCTATATTTTAAAGATTTATTTATTTGTACATATAGAACTGGGATTCAGGCCAGAGGCTCAGGGGCGGTGAGAGGCTTCACCAGAGACAATGGGAAGCAGAACAGGCAGATCGATGAAATACACTGCTGAGGGGAGCAGCAGGTGGGACAGGAGAGGTCTGCCACGCTATGTGGTCACCCCCGGGGCAGGCGGGAATCGAACTCATGTGGAAGTGGCTTTAGCTTCTCAGTGCTGTGCTTCAACCCTCTGCACCACCAGGGAGGGCTTCAATATTATTTTTTAAGTGTAAAGTTTACTAATGAATATACATCCTGGAAAATAATATGTCTTTTCCTTCTAGTCTTTAGACAAACCAACTGATTTGTTTAACCATAAGGCCTATTTGTTTATGCCACTTGGGAACTTTTCAGGGTAGGAAGCCAATTTAGAAAACACTTTGAATTACAGATCTATAGCTTTATATTCAGTGACACTGAGTTAGTTGCCATAGTATTAGGGCTATATCACAATTGAGTACCATTGGTGTCTGAATTAAACTTAAAAGTTTTAGTGTGAGACTCTTGCTAGAATAAAATAAAGATCAGCAACATTTTTGGTAATGCCTTACCTCATAAATATTTTAGACTGTGGACCAATTAGTTTCATCACTATTGCATGAAATCAGACATACACAATACATAAAAGTGTAAGTAGGACTGTACTCCAATAAGCTTATACACAAAAGTAGGCTGCAAACTAGATTTGGTCTACAGGCTTTCATTTTCTACCTCTAGAAGTCTTAGAACTCTAAGAAGATACATTTTCACGAAGTCAGTTCTGAATAGTGCATTATTGCTAACGTTTCTACGCATGGCTAGGTTAGGAGATTTTAATACAATTTTGCTGCAGCAAAAAACAAGCAAATACCAAGAATCAATAGCAATGTAATCATGAATTGACTTCAAATGCCCTGATAGAGCCTTATTAACTACACTTGGACTCCAACCCCGCAGACTGTTATGTCCATCTCTCATGTAGAGGCTGTCCTTTTGACGAGTGACTGACATAATAATGAACATCACCCTTTGCCCATATTTTCCTTATACAGTGCGATTGCACTTTCTAGTCCAGATCTCTGGTGGTCACCAACTGGCGCCGTCAGTGGCACACAAACGTACTTGGTTATTACTCACTAGCTTTTCACTATCTAATCTAAATTGACCTGAGCCTTTGACTGAAAGCATTAGTTCTTATCTCTTCCATACAGAAACACTTATTTAAGAATATATTCTTAAACCACCCTTTACAAATGATCTTGAAGGACAAACACATGTTTCATTCAACTGACACTGACATCCCAAGTAGACGTACCTCATTCTGATTCCTGAGATTTGTAACATTATGAGAGAAAATGGGTCTCAGATTTTATAAGTCATGCTGCATTTGGACACTTTACCATCCTATCTGTCCAATTACTATAGATGTCTACAAAATTAATACTCCTGTATAAGTTATTGTGAAAATTCAAAAGCACAAATATTATTTAAGGTCTATGGCTCTGTTTTATACCTTCCTCTTGATCTGACCTTCCCAAGCTGTTATAGATTCTGTATGAGTCACACTCTTCCGCCTTTCTACATTTTCTCATGTCTATGTCACTTTTCACTAGAGATGTTCACTGAGGCTCATGGGCAAATGCAAAAACATCTAAATCACCCTAATTTCTACACCAGGCACAGGTGAAGGTGTTAGATAAAACATTTTACAAAGTGCAATGTAATCTCCTTGATCAACCATGGAAGACATCACAATTTTGTTTGACATGGAAGACATGTCAATTTTAAATTTTATTGACTCTAACTCCAACAAAACCTCTACATCTTTATTTTACAATTTAAAAATTCAGAGTAGTTGCATGATTTTAAAAGGTTACATATAAATTAGTGTCAAGTGCCTGTTGCCATGCTAGGTGTCTTGGTGGTATACACCAATACCTCTGTTTGAAAATGACAGGTTTCATACCAACCAAGGTTAGGAAAAGCAGAGATAATAGGCCCATATGGTAGGTAGCCACAAAGGATACCTGAAAAATTATATACTAAGTGGCAGGTAGGTCTGTTCTTTGAGTTCATAGCTCCTCCAACTTCACTGGATGGTTGCCTCTACAAAAGGCTCCAAGTTACTCTCTTGGCAATCTCTGGGCATGAGATGCTTTATCTAGGCCTGTTTCTTTATTGTCTTTGCTCCCAAGACTTAATGGAGAACTCATCTGTCCTATAAACTCTTTTTGGTGCTGAAAAACTAGGGTTGAGCTACTCTTATATTATTTTCCCTTTCAAAAACCTATGTCTTGCCATGGTTTTCTCTATATCCAAAAGCCTTTTCACATGTGGGGGACCTATAAGAGAAGACTTTCATCTTCTCATTCCATTCTGCTGGCTCTATGTTCTGCTCTCAGATTTTCTTTCTTGGACAATGGAGGAAAATGGAAGAACAGAGCTTACCTGAGATCAAAGTCAGAAATGGGAGATAGGATCTCTTGACAGAAGCCTCTCTTTCCTCTTGATATTTCTGTGGCTGTCCATGACATCTGGTGCTTTCACTTTCAGCAATCTCTTTTTTTATTTGTTTTTCCTTGCTTTTTCTTCTCTCACCATCTATGAACTCAACATATGCAAAGTTAAGGCATCACATCATATGGGATAGAAAGAGAATTGGAAATCCTTGGTCATATTGGTGCAAAATGAATGCTTTCAAAAATATTTATGAAGGGCACAACAGTTTATAATCTTGTTGCTGATTTGAGGGATGAAAATGTACTTTCCCTACAGGAACAGAGAAGGAAAAATGATATAATTTCTCTTCTTATTTAACATTTTTTCTTCCCTACTTTGTTATTAAATAAGTTCCCTGCCCTTAGGGCAGAAATCTTGTAGTCATAATACATAATAGAGACAAAATTAAGATATATTCATCAAGGATTATAGCTATGGTTATCCCACATTGAACTAAATTCAATTTTTGTTTCCCAAGATATAATCTATCTTGTGAAAACTTTTTGTCCTGGAAATATGGTCACAAGAACTAGATTCTCCCATTGCTGAAAGTGTAATTTCAAGTATAGATTTGAATTTAGCAATGGTGCCCATGGCTCTGTTCTGATTGTGTTACTCCTTTTAAATGTGGAAGTAGTTCTGTCCATCAGTGAATCTGTAGAGTTTGAATATGTAGGCTAAAGGGTAAAATGGGCTCAGTTATAGATAAGGGATAGCTTCAGGAGAATTTAGATTATCTACTACTAAGGCATAAAACAATAATTCTGGAGCAGAAAGGGGTTTAATCTAAGTTCATTCATGATCATGCAGAGGCTATCTTGTTATGTTTCTAGATTCCTCTGATGACACAGTGTAAAGTATTGAATGCCCTTCCCATACATGAATGAAGCTCAACAGTCATGCATGTGTGGATCTGGGACCCCCAGTGAATCAGACTATTCTGCCTAGTGCACCTTGTCTTCCAGCTTTTGGGAGCATCTATGAACTCTACTCTTCTCTGGGAATGGCAGATGTTTCGGGGCATAGGAAACTACTCACCCTTAGATCTGACTTAATCCTGACCATGCTGGTTGGCTATGAGCAGCTCTAACTGGCTCCTTGGGATTCAGATTTTAGTAGAGCCCTCAGATTGGGACCTATTTAAAGTCCTTGTAAATTCTGAACTTTTCCTTCCCATAAATAGTAAGTCTCTCCTCCTCTAAAGCCCCACTGCCTCATACTCACACTGGCTTCCTCTGAGACTTTAGTCTAAAGCTGGAAGTATTAACCCCTAACTTTCTTTTCCCTGGTATACATGAATACAGTCAAGAAATTTGAATGGATGTGCAGTAAGGATTGTTGCTGAGATTACATGAATACAAGGTCTTATACACATATACATTGTTAGTTGGAGAATGAATATTTAAATTGAAAGAATATTTTGTGCTATGTGAAATGTACTGGTATGTCATTTATTTGCTGTGTGTTTTAGAGAGTGATCTTACTACATATGTATACATGGACTGATTTGCATGTGAATGTTACTAATCATTTTGTACATGTGCAAGTGTGAATAATGTTTATACGAAGTGTGCATGTTTACTTTTAAAATATTTTATTTATTTATGCATGCAGAATTGGGGTACAGGCCAGAAGAACAGGGGTGGTGAGAAGTTTCACTAGAGACAGAGTGGGGAGCAGAACAGGCAGATCGATGAAGTATACTGCCGAAGAGAGCAGCGGCCAAGACAGGGGAGGTTTGCTGCACCATGTGGGTAACCTCTGGGGCCGGGGATCGAACTCACACTGAAGCAGCTGTAGCTTGCTTGCAGCACTGTGCTCTGACTCACTGTGCCATCAGGGAGGGAGGGAACTGAAGTGTGCACATTTCATGTGGTTATATAGAAGGCCACTGTGGACACTTTCAACAAAGAAGGAAATTAAACCATAAATGATGTCAGAAAATCACAACTCAGATTTCACCCCAGTCCTAATGAATCAAAATTTTTAATTTAATAAGATCATGAGGATATTTGCATTTTTATAATCATTTAGTA